AGACATAAAACTGCAACCTTCATGCCAAGTGGACTTGTGTTATGCAGCCTATAAAACTAGTCCATTAGTTACTTCAAAGCTAGATTATTGTAATTTGTTACTTTTAGGAACCCGAAAAATGTAGTTAAGCCTTCAGCGGATCCAAAACACTGCAGCCAGAGTTCTGCTAAAAATCAAAGAGAGATCATATTTATCTAATTTGAGCTTCACTTCATTGGCTTCCTGTTAAATCCCGGATATAAATGAGTCATTCTTCTCAGGTATAAAGCCCTGAAAAAAACAAGCTTTTTCTTATAAAAGATATTTGATTTAAACAGAAGGCTGCACTGCACTCTTAATCTGCAGGTTTACTCGTCTGTGAGACAGATATCATGTCTGCCATTGAGGCTAGGCTTAAAACATTTGATAAAGCTTATAGGTAGTGTTAGAGCTTATTATTCTGATCTATCTTTATAGTTATGCTGCTATAGGTTTAGGCTGCTGGAGGACATATAGACTACTTGTCATAATTAATTCTATAATTTTGCAGTATATGTTAGTTCAATCCCTGACTTTATGTTTTCTCTGCTTTTTCTTATTATAATAGCTTAATCGGGCCTGGTGCTGTGGTTAGTTGTGACACCATCCTCCAGGAAAGCTTTAGTTTTTAGTGTCCTGTTTCTCTCCTAGGCATAGCTATGGGTTCAGCTTTTACTGTGACTAACTGAATGTACTCTTTTCCACATTTTTTGAAATGAAAACTGGCTCAGAACAGAGCTTCTCAGTTTAACTGTTTCTTTCCTAGATGGAGCCACCTATAGAGGTGGTTCACTATTACCTTTTCTTATGTAGAAAGCATTTGAGGGTGAATGCCTCAGTTTCTTTTGTATGCCTGCTTTTGGCTCCTTGAACCACCACTCACTCTGAGCAAATGACCGCTCACACTGACCCTGGTTCTGCTTAAGGTTTCTCCCTGTTGAAAGGGAGTTTTTCCTCTCTACTGTCACTGTGTGCACTCTTAGTCAGTAGATAATACAATGAAATCAAATGTTAGCTGGGTTTCCTTAATCTCTGTATGATTTGATTGATTTGTCTTTGGAAGATGTGAGATAATGCATTGTGAATTGAAATTTAATTTACAGCAATCGCCAGGAGAGAGGACAACTCAGCTTTAACGTGACGAAGCCATCAGCAGAACCATGTTGAGTGTGAATGGCCTTGTACCATGATCAGCTTGGGATTTGAGTGGACAGACAAAGAAAATCAGAACCAGTGATCCAGGAGTTCTTTCTGTTTAAGAAAAAAATGAAAGGTTAATGCGGTAGTAGCTTCTTTAGTAGTCTCATCTTGGAGAGAAGCAAACTTGACAGATGTACTCTAGATAATTGTCTAGATTTTAAAAGAGAGCATAAACAGTTAGAGTAAAAGCTCGTCCAATAGCCATGTCTAGGAGAAAAACAGGGTTAACAACTAAACAAGAGCAAGGACATCTGTTAAGGACAACATAAAGTCACTGACACTGGCAGCCCATCCTCCCCAGGACAGCATCACACCTGAACTGAACTTTAGCCATAATGTTGCTACTGTGAAGAGAAAAAAAAGGACAAAGTTAGACAAATATAGCTGATTGTCATCAAGATAACCGTGGAAATGAATCCCATTCTGTCTGATAAACTCAGTACTTTGTTGTGCCCCCTTTTAGGTAATATTATTGCATTGCTGCAGTGTGACATAGACACAATCATCCTGTGGCTCTGCTGACATGTAATGGAAAGCTGCTGCCACACTACCTTAACTGTGTTAGACATACAGCTTTAAAGCTAATCTAGCATTCGTCCCTGCTTTTCTGCCTCAATGGAGACAAATCACCTCCTATTTGTTTTTCAGCCTTCTTAAAGGACATCTACCAAGAGTTTTTCTCTTTCTTCTTATGTATGGTTTCAGAGGGTAATTTAACACCAAGCCTTTGCTTTTCCCAGTACCGTGGAACTCGGAGCCGTTCATTGAATTAGCAGCTACAAAATGAGGAGATCCTCAGAAATGTATCTCGGCAGTATCTTATACAGTGAGGAAAATAAATATTTGAACACTCTGCTATTTTTCAGGTTCTCCCACTTAGAAATCATGGAGGGTCTGAAGTTGACATGTAGGGGCATGTCCAGAGTTAAAAAATTATCCAGAAATTACAATGTAGGACTATTTATTTGTATCAAATACTTATTTTCCTTGTTTATCTTATTTTCATGCAGCCTACATGCTTTTGCCGGAGTTGAAATATCTGCACTGTTGTGCCTTCTCAAGATTTCATACACTACTGTATGAATGTGTCACAGCGTGACAAATCCTTTTATTCTTTTAAAACCGTCTCTGACTGTATTTAAACATGGATTTACCTGCAGCAAAGTAACACGTTTAACTTTCTCGAGTCACTTCATTTTGTGCTTCATCTGTGGCACTGGTGCAAAAAGAAAATACTTTCAGGACGAATTGTTATTATTGATGTAAATGATTTACTCCACCCTGTCATCTGTTGACAAAACATATATTTTATGACAAAAATAAACACACATGGATTTTTTTTGTTTAGTTTTTTTTTTACATATAACTTCCAATTAATGAATTTCTTTCTTAGTTTTAAAGGCAAATTAGTGTATACAAAAAGAAACTTCATTTAAAACAGCTCTAGACAATTTCACTTTTTAAAGTACAGCCATTGAAAACGTTAATAAATACATAAAAATATAAACATATGACTGTTTATTTACAGTTCTAACATTTATTTTTAATTTTTTAATGAATGAATGAAATGAATCCCCAAAATATTCAACCTGATTCTGTTATTTGCATCTACACACCTGAGGTTAAGTAGAGATAAAATTAAAAAACAAAACAGTTCAGATAGTTTTTGTTTTTCTTCTACTTCCCCAATTTTGCAAATGAAACCCATTGAGCTCTACCTTTTGAAAGGAAACCTTCCATCTTCAGAGCTGTGAGTTTGGAGCATTTTATCTTTTCCTGCAAGACCAATTTACAGCTGGGTTGCTTACAGAGCCGCTGTGAACTACAGGGCTAAAAATGACTCGAATCGAGCTATACTGAAACCTCAGTGGTGTTACTTGGGTATAAAGGCTAATTAATCACAACATGTAGTTCTAGGTTTAAACATGGTTCTGATTTATTCTACTCTGATCCATTTATCCCTGACTTTCCTGCACACTAAAACCAACACCATAACCATACATGCAAGAAAAAGTTTATACATTTTCCCGATGCAACGATTCCATATATGGATAGGATATCGGCTTCCATATTGAGTAATTTTTTGGATAGGATGTCCGTGATTTCATATTAGATATCGGAGATCCAGTCCAATGCGCTTTAAATGGATCTTATTTCTTTCTTTTTGCTGCTCATTTAAACAAAAAGAAAAGACAAAAATAAATATTTAAATGGCATATATAGTTCATTCAGTCAATACATGAATTGGATTGCTATCTGATATCGACCACTGCGCTCAGCCCAGGTATTTTGATTGGATTGGGGGAAAAAACTGGATCGGTTCATCTCCAAAATTTGGCTCTATTTTTAAATTCAAATTGTTTAAAATTGATTGAGCCAAACTTTGCTGGAATACAGTTCTAGCTGTTTGTGCTTCATTACTAGGCTGCTGCATAATTATAAAAGATGAACAAAACAAGGATTAGCTCTTAAAAACACTGTGAATCATTTATCCTGCTGGGAAAAGCAAATGGGGCTGGTTAGTGGGTAGCAATGCTGCCTTGGAGCAAGACGGTTCCGGGTTCGATTCTTGGCCCGGGATCTAACCTGCATGGATTATGCATGTTCTCCCTCAGTATGCGTGGTTGTCTCCGGGTACACTGGCTTTCCCCCACAGTCCAAAAACATGACTGTTAAATTCTCCTTAGGCGTTAGTGTGCATGAATGGTTGTTTGTCTCTGTGCTGCCCTGTGATGGACTGGCGACCTGTCCAGGGTGAACCCCGCCTCTCGCCCATAGACAGCTGGAGATGGGCAGATCAGCACCCCTCGCGACCCTGCTTGGGATAAGCGTGACGTAAAATGAATGGGTGGATGGAAAAGCAAATTACTGTGATTGAGTTGGTTAGGTTCACGTGATACAGGGACTTCTGTAGGTTCTCTCCTTAGCAGTGCAGCTATACACAATCTAACCTCCACATTTAGTTGCTTTAAACAAACTCTTTGTTTCATTGCGATTCTTTTGGGACACAGTTGTTTAGAGAAAGAAAAACATTTTTTTTTTGTTTCCACACAAATAGAAACCTAAAAAGTGCAATGTGTGTTTCTATTCCACCGTCTTAGTCTAGACTTTGTAGAGCTGCCTTTATGTTGTAACTGCAACATAAAGTCCTTTTTAAAAAAATCTGTTAGCTTTTCACATTGATGGCCTTGCTTTTTTTTCTCTTTTTCATAACATCAATAAGTCATTAGGAACATCTGAAGAGCCTTTCCACAGATTCTGATTAGATTTGGGTCCGCACTTTGTCTTGGCCGTTCCTGCATTTTAATGAGCTTTGATCTAAAGCATTTCTTTGATTGTATCAATCATAATGAAAATGTGTAGTTGTTTATAACATCAGAATAAAATAGATTTGCTTTTTTTTTTTTTTATTGTCTTAATGTGCAAAAGTTAAAGAGGTATTAAGACCTTTGCCACTCACTGTAATCCATTGCACAGCATGAATAGTCAAAAAAATTCAAAACCACAAATACAAGAAAAAGCACCAGAAGGTTAATTATTAGAGTGCTGTCCTTCACCAAGGCTCCTTACTTTCTCTTCCATTTTTAAACAGGATGATGGTCAGGTTTTTTCTGCTGACAAACTGCCATGAAAATATGCTTTCACCTTCATGTTGGAGGATTCCCTTATGAGGGCTACCTGTGAAATCAACATTTAGAGGGTGTAGTTGTAAGACATGATCCTTCTCCTTTTCTCCTCCTGTGCTTCAGGGTCCTTAACATTCCCCCCTTTATGTCCATCAGGCTTTCAACTCTGAGACGGACAACTTCAAGCTGCTGTACGGGGGCCACCAGTACCACGCCAGCTGTGCCAATTTCTGGATCAACTGCGTGGAGCCGAAACCTCCGGGCCTCATCCTGCCTGACCTGCTCTGAGCTGCCATGGAAACAGGGCAGGAAATAATTAAGTTAAAATAGGAGGAGCGGCCGGTCACGTCACGCTGAGAACGTCAAGAGTCACTGGATTCTGCTGGATTCTTTTTATTTTTTTCTTAGTTTATTTTAGATTTTTATCGTTTCCAGGGTTACCTTTTTTTTTTTTTTTACCCTTTTCTTATCCAAGCAAATCATTTGGAGGAGGTTGTATTTAGATCTGTGTCTGATGCTGCTTTCTTTTACCTGATTGTGTCTGCAGATGAAGGTAACATGAAAAATACTGTCGTATTTTATTAATTAGCTGTGCAATATGATTAAAACACTGGCAAAACAGATGTGTAAACATCTGCAACTTTTAATTTTCCTTTTTTTCTTCCCCCTTTTTTGATTTTATGCACAACTCCTCATCATACCAACTCTTTTACTTGTGTTGCATTATCCTTTAATGCAGGTTTTTGAAATAATTCACATTTTCTAAAACCTGCATTCCCGCTGTACTGCAAGGTGTTTGTCTCTCTTTTATGCTCTGTGTTGAATGTCCTTGTTAAATGAAATCTTTGGCACCTTTCGGGTATTTAAATAGTATTTTATAAATATTTAATAGCATGGGAGTGAACGTAATGGGTCTCGAAGGAGGTAGCGTTTCGGTGTGGATATTTGAACGTCATGAAGGAACTAATTGTGTGAAGTTGGACCAGCTGATTTGTCTGTATATCATGACGCCATGTTAAGGATTGTATTTATCTCTTGAGTATAATGTGAATAAATGAGAGTGCTTGAGTTTGTGTCAAATTTGATTGTTTTGGTCTGAGTTTGAAAGGTGGGAAAAGCATTTCTCTGATTTGACTGCTTAGTACTACGGGTAAAAAAAAAAAAACTGATCAAATCCTGATTCAACATATTAAGTAATATAAAAATGTCATGGTAAAAGTTAAGTACTGTTTTACTGAGTCTTCACTCTGTTTAATTTGTTCCAGTCCTCCCATATTTCTGGTCATTTAGGTTTAGTACACAACTAACCAGGCGATTTATCTGCGTTTCATGAGTCAAAAAAGATAGATCATGTGATGAAGTAGAGGCATGTTTCATTTTAAAATGAACAAAGAAGCTAAAGCTGTTGAATAAATGGCGGTAAAGAGCAGAGCAGTTTGCTCTTTGTAAATTAAGTGATGAAACTTAATGCTTCATTTATACATCTACAGCCGGCCCAAGGGTCTTTACACTATTTTTTTTTACACCATTTCTCACCACAGTAGTTTGTATCGAGTTCTGGTTCATTTTAAAGGCTCCTTTTTCAGCCATACATTATTTGATTTTCTTTTATGATCCACTGCCTCACCAATTTGGACTAAATTCCAGCTGTAGGAAGCATGGACTCTCACTAACCTCTGAATCTTTTGGTTATAAAGAAGTTCAAGGTTGTAAGGTGCCTGGATCCTGTGGCTGAAAAATGGGCCCAAACCATGACCTAACAACCACCATGCTCAACATGTGGGAGGTGTGGGATTTTTTGGGAACAATTTTTGCCTTTAAACTGTCTTTTTCGCCATTTGGGCAAGGACATGGATGAGTGGGTTTGGTGTTGAATACCTTGCCCAGCCAGTGTAGGTACCAGATCTGCTCGGGTCCTGTGCATGCCAGTAATTTTGCGCTACATGATTGGCTGAATGTCGCCAAATGATGTAAAACATAGTGGTTGCCCAGACAACGATGATAACATCAAGCACGTGTTAGCATGTCTAGTGATAGATTGAGTTTTACCTGATCGATAACAAAACAGAAAAAAATCTGTTTATGGTGAACAAATTAATTGCAGGACCATAATTTAAAGGGGAGGGCTGGGTAGCGCTGTGTCTAGCTGTGTTCAGTAGCCAACAAGTTGGCCTCTTTTAGCTCAGTAAGTTAGCCATATTAAGCTACACTACTTTTAAATTCGTGTCAACAACAATTGTTCGTTTTCTACAAGTAAAATAATAGTTTTATTTGTCTGCAATATCTACAAAAGTCATTTATTAAGATGTTCCATTTGTCCTCCTCTGCCCTCAGATTTTAATAAAAAGAATAAAAATAAGCTGAGACTTTGTCCCCTTGTCAAATGGCAGAGCTCAATCTTAGAACGCAGTACTTTCCTTCAAGACTGAGAATGATTGTTTTCTACTATCGGCTACTTTAGTTCGCAAATTAAATGTAAAATAATAGCAAATATAGGTAAGAATATTTTAAGACTCCGATAGACATTTGATCCTTAAGAAACGGGTGCAATACAGTTTGTCCGAGTGGAGTTGCCATATATTGACGTCATAAGAAGGGGCAGGGGCCTCGAACAGATCTGGTCGCTACACCGGCACTGAATCCTAACATCAACCCAACAGATCTCCTTTTGGATGATTGTTTGAGCTGAATCTGACTCACCGTTGGAAAAATAAATTGCCCTGAACCTTTTGGAAGGCCTTCCTCAGAAGAGTTAAAGCCGTTGTAGATGGAAAAGATGGGAAATAATGTTGGTTACTTTGTGTATAAAACTAAAAGCATCTTTGTATTTTAAGTTTTGTTGTTCTTTTTCTAAAAAAAAAAAACAAAAAAAACCAAATCTAATTTCAAATACAGTTGTTCTATTGTGTAAAAACACCTGACAAAAGTAACAGTATTTTGTTCAGTACTGAACTTTGTGGGGGACTGTCAACAACAGGAACAATCCTCTGAAAATAAGCAAGACCACTTTTTCTGACGGAGATCTCTGAGAACCCTTAAACTAGAGCTAAAGTAAGATAATCCCAAAGATAGGAAATAAACTTCAGCTTTAAGTAAGATATATGGCTGATACGATTAATCAGATTAATCGTGATTAATTGATTATTGAAATAATCTTGAACTAATTTAGTAATCGATTTATCGTCAACTGGAGAATAGAGACTCTTAAAAACAAACCTCTAGCTGACAAAGAAACACACTTAGAGCCGTAATCATACCAAAGATATTGCATTTAAGATTAAAACAAACTATCTGTCAATATGCTCTATCCAGAACTCCTCAAGTGGAAAAGTTTGAGCTTTATCTGGTTTAATCTCTTAAAAAAAGTCTTCTCTTAAAGAATCGTTTATCAATCGATTAATCAAAAAAATAATCATTAGTTGCAGCCCTAAAGTAGGGTTTAATCTAAACGCCTATTCACTAGATATTAAGTACTATTGTATAAACTAAATATTCACTGCAAGTTTTAGAAACTGCTTGTATTTGAACAAACCCAAGTAGCAGTGGATGTGATTAGTATTCATTTCCTCATTGACCTCCTTGCTTCCTTCAAGTCCAAAAGAAAATAGCCTTTGTTATAATAATTAGCCTTTGTGTGTTCGACTGTTTTTTGTGTTGATTTTCTGTTTTATAAATGGTTTCCTAGGCATTTTTAGCTCATATATTTGTTCAACAAAAAAACACAGTTACAGCCCAGAAATAAAATGGTCATTTAATTTAATGGCTTTCAGGTGATTTTTTTCCCCTCTGTCTGCTTTCTCTCTTTTTGCCAAACACACCAATCTTGCTGCACTTCCCCTTCTCAATAATGCACTCTCCCTGAGGCCAGAAAGGCCTGGTCATTTCCATCACATTACAACAAAATGGAATAAATTCACTTCCAAACAAGCCTGGCAGGCCTTCGCTGGCGGTTGAGCTAAGCCAATCAGATGAGATGTCTCGTGGCGTTGTGAGACCTGTCTCATTACGGTTCCGCACTCTTCACGTGTGTCCTCAAACATCCGTTTTATCCCTCGCTGCTGTCTAATTTATTTCCTGCAGAAAAGGAATTCCTCTCCTCTCACAGCAAACATCGATGGAGGATTACAGAAAATTTCAAAAGCAGAAATCAATTAAAGAACAAGGCTGAGTAATTCAGAATTCGGCGTGTATCTCTGCGCTTTATGTCTGGCATCTTCACACCTGTTCTCTACAGCATCCAGCTGAAGTATTCACTTGGGGAAAGATACAATGAAAGTGGTGAATACTAATGATATTTTTATCCTTCATTGTTATGGCCCCTCTTCTTATTTGTGAATTCAGCAGCTGTTATGATGGAGGAAAACACTTTCACTCTCATGTTTGATATTAAAGGCTGAAGAAGTTTCTTGCATCATTGTGACTCTATAAGAAAACCATATAAGATAAATATCAGGGGGTTTTTTTCATCCAGTTTCAGATTAAATCAAAGCCATGCTGCTAAACAGTCCAAGAAGTGCAATTTAATAAAATAAAACGTGTGAATTAATGATAGTGACATATAGTTGTTTATTTTGGGTTCTTTTTTTATGCAAATAAAGTCACACAATCAGCAGCTTACGTAATGAAGAGAGCTGTGATCATTTGGCCTCTTTGGTAGAACATCTTTACTCAATTTCTTCTCAAATTTTACTTTATTTCTTTCCAAATTTGCTTTAATCCTAACTTTCTTTCACTAACTTTAGTTTGATCCTTACAGACCTGCATGAGCAGAGATGTGAATGACCAATTACAATATAAAGCACCGTTTAGAATAAATATATGATCTAATCACTAAATTTCAATTGTTCTTTATAAAGAAAACCAACCTTTGAGATCAAGCAAGCAGTCTGTATGAGCCATTGTTTTTTTATTAATCTCGTTTGTTCTCCTTGAGATAGAAAGCCTCCTAACTGTGTAAATTAGTTATACCATTCAGACATGAAGCCTGTTGGTCGGCAGCCATTTTCATTGACACATTCTTTACTTTGCATCTAATGAACTTAGAATCACTGAAAAAAGCCCAAAGGAAAAAGAACCGCTTTTAAAAAATCCCACCACTGCCATATGATTTGTATTGTGCCTTAAAGCATTATTTATTATAATGATGGCCTTCAAAATGAATGACAATAAAACAGTAAATTTATCTTTCTCCTCTCAACTTTATAATACTGTTAGGTTACAGTAGGTATTTAAATTATTTCACTGCAGTATAAGCAAATATATGAATTACTGAGCATAAAAAAAAATAAAAATTATGTTGGAAAATGTTTGTTATATGACTGTCTTAGACAGACCTTGAAATATTATAGCTATTTATTCATGCTTTTCCTTTAAACATGTATGCATTTATGATAAAAAGAAAAATAAATTTTCAAAGTGAGAAAACATGATGGAGGTTTATTTGCCATTTTTGTTCAAATACAGTGTTTTGGGAAACAGGCTAAGGTTAGAAAAAGGTTGGTTGGATATTTATATATGATTTAATATATGCTGACGTTAGCTTGGTAGTCTGTGTTTTTTAAGAAGATTTTATTTCTATTTTAATTTTAGAATTATGAACGTTGGTTCTGTGGATCGATCAGAGGTTTAATATCTTATATTTAGTAGGAAGCTATCTGGACAGTTTTCCTTTAGAGAAATAAAGGCGCTAAATATTTTTATGTAAGGCTGTCCTATGTGCTCATCCCCATTTTACACGCACCACTGGTGAGTGTGACATAGTGAAAAAATAGCAAATCTTCTTTTGGAACTTTTTAACAGAGCGTACACGAGGAGAAATGGGCGTGTGCATGCTCTCATATGGGTTTAGAAGGCATTCTCTCACAGGAGCGGTTACAGGGCTGTGCATGTGCATTTATTTTTAAAAGTGGAGAGGCCGGGTCCTTTAAAAAATTTGTTAAAATCCTCCACTATACCTTTGAGATTTTCAACTAAATTCCTTTGCCATATGTTCAAGTCAAGTGGTTTTGTTTGTATGAAGAAATTTAAGTGAAGTCTAGTATCTTCTAATAATCCCAGGTTCCAGTCCC